GCTCCTATCAGTTCTACTCTAAAATAATTTTTTCAAAAACTTGATCAGCGAAGTCTCGAGTTACGTGGACAAGCCGTCAACTGAACCTATGATAGACGAAAAACAGACGATACTTCAAAGCATTAGAATTTACGTTCTCATTGCCCCTTTATGTATCACGCCGTGCTTAGAAATTTGTTTTTTCATTGTTTCTTACGTCGCAAAGTAATCGAGACTGAGCTTCGGAGTATTTCTTCTGTATTCTTTCTTTACGGTATATAGAAAACTGCACTATAAAAAAAGTCGTAGATTAATAAACTACAGTAAAAGAGTTTTTTGAACTAAAAGACTGATCAAAAAACTCGAAAGAGTTTTTTTAACGGGTTTTTTAAGCCAGAAAACTAAAAAGCGTCCGTGGTCGTTTCAAAATGGAAAACTCAAAGTTTTTGGGTCTAAAAAACTCTTTAAAAACCCTGCTATTTTTCCATCAGTTTTCCAAATGAGCGAGCACAACTATTCACATGACAGGTTTCATAAAAAGTTCTTCTTTCCATTTAAAAAAAAGTGCTGTTATATTTGTTTTGTACGATGTTACGGAAAGCGTCGGCAAAATCGTATCGTATCTACTGGAATTTGGAAAAAATTTCTTTTACTGCAGCATCTCGCTTCTGCTTCATGAGCAAAATATTCACTAATAGATATTCTCTGGGGACTTCCAGTTTTTGTCTCTTGTCCAACGTCTTAAGGACTTCAGCGTTGTTTCTGTCTGAAAGAGAACAAAAATCTACAGGAGCCAATAGCACAAGCAAAACCAACCTAGAAAAAAAAATTAGTTGCACTCGCTGGTCAATCGCCTGGTTCATCAGCTGATGAATCTAGCTAAACGAGTAAAAAGTATTGAGTTATCTAGCTGTATTGAGTAAAGTCGATTTACTAGTTGTAACAGTCGATGCATGCAGTAATCCAATAAGAGAGCGAAAAGGCGATCCACTACTAGATGCATAGGTCAATGCATCACCTTTGTTGTGAATGATTGTGAATCTATCTCCTGGTTTGCTAACTATATTTTTCACCTACCTCAATTCTATTTTATTCTTCTTTTAACGCATCCTTCTTTTCAAAACCTAATGAGCTGATTTGATGAACGATGATGTTCTCCTCTATTTTCAGGTTTAATTTTCAAATTGTTTTAGCAGATACACAACAGCCTGTTGAGTGGAATGAAAGAAAAAGAATGTCTAATCCAAGTTGTCTTATTTCCGCTTCACCAGTACGGAACAAAAAGACTACAGATCTGAAAACGAACACAGACTTTTTCATCATAACTGTAATGGAACTCCTCGTTTTTCAACATGACGTTTTCTTTTACGAGAAATACAGGTTATCCGAAAAAGTGTGAAAACACTACATCACGCTTGAAAATGCAGAAATGAAGTGAAGTTTTTGACGTGATTTTTAGAATACGAGCACCATTACTTTTTTATATTCTACCCGTTTCCTTTCTGTTCTTTTCACAACATCAGTATTAGTTCTATCAACTTATACATCTAGAAGCACTAGGTACAATAACTGCGGACGTATCTAGCGAATTGAGTAAGACAAAATGGAGTTATCTCAAAAATTCATTTTTATCTCATACAGTTAAGACGTACATCACGTTTTCCTTTTCTTCCTTTTTGTATACGTGGCCTCACGCACGTGTAGGTCACGTTGCTGCGTATTTATTTTTGAATGAGTAATCGTAATAGTCAAAGACAAAAGAGTCGTAATGATAATTATGATAAAAATAGAACAAATTTATTGGATAACAATGATTTAAATGATTCTGGTAATGAATATTACTCGAACGAAAATGAACAAACAGTGATTTCTAGATCAAATGATCGTGTGTATACTGATTTATCGAATGTGAGGCCCAGTACCATCAATGGACACAACACAATACTGGATGGTCGTTATCAACACTACAATAAGGATTTCCTTCGTAATCAGCAGCAACAGTTTATGCAGCATCAATATAATGATTATTATAGTCACCAGCAATTTTATCATCAACCCCAAGTCGATTATACAAATCAGGGTAGATCTAACCATCTCCCACAATCGGCTGTTCAATCTAACCGTACCCAGGCAGTTAAGATACCTATTCTAACTGCCACACAATCTTCGGTACGGACAGTGAATCATGGTTTGATAAACAATCCGATTAATGATCAACATGTAGCACGTTTTACTCAACAAAATTCTAGTCCTAATACACCTAATAGTGCTTCAACGCCAAAAAGACAAATTGAAAATGAGCAATATAAGAGTAACTTAAATAAACGTCCAAAGGCAACGTTAAACCGTCAGTACCTTAGTAATAATAACCAATATAGTGTACCATTCTCACATTTAAAACGTGCAGTTAGAAACAACCTTCCCTGCTTTATTATACAATTTGATTCAAATATTTCACCAAGCGAATTACCTTCAAGTGTAATAGCTAGTGGTTTAATTCATGGAAA